GCCTCATCCCCTACAACTTTCCTGAGTTCATTTACCAGTTCTTATGAGTTTTTGGCAGTGTGTTTAGATTTTCCTGTCTATAAAATCATGTCATCTGCAGACACGGGTGTTTTCACTTCCTCCTTTAAACAATTAAGCAATTCGGATGCTGTTTACTTCTTTGTGTTACCTAATTGTTCTTGCTAAGATTTCTAATACTACACTGAATGAGAATGGAGAAAGTGGACATCCTTGTACTGCTTCAACTCTTAGGGGAGATGCTTTCAGGTTTTCCCATTTATGAATGATGTTGGTTGTGGGCTTATATTATGCAGCTTTTATAATTTTAAGGTGCATTCCTTCTATACATAATCCATTGAGAATTTTTTATGATGAAGGGGTGTTGAATCTTATCAAATGCTTTGTCTTCTCAAGACAATTACGTGTTCTGTTCTCTGCTGATGGGATTTCTACTTTCATTGGTCGGTGAATGTGGAGCCGTCCTTGCATTCCTGGACAAATCCCACTTGGCCATTGTGGGGAGCAACTGGGAGCAACTCGGACTAGACTAAGTTACTGGAATTAAGACTTATTCTATGCATCTGCTCTCCCACAATATGGCGCTGAGAAGGGAAACAGCTTCTACACAGCTGCCTCCAGTTCAACCAATAAACTGTGGGACCTGCTCCTGATTGGAGGAGAGCAGCGTACTCGGCGTGTGGGTAGCAGAGTTGGGATTGGTGGAAGAGGACTACAAAGGAGGAGAGAGACGGCATGCACCAGGAACATCTAAGGGGAACATCTATCTGAAGGAACACCTGTGCAGCCCCCGAGAGAGCCGGCCGGCAGTGTGACGCTCCCCCGTGGAAGTGGGGAATGTGGCAGGGGGAACCGCCCTTCCACAGAGGTGGAAGGGTCAGTAGCCAACCCGGGAAGAACCAGCAGCAAACCCGGGGAGGGCCAAGCAGACGAAAGAACAGCGCAGGGTCCTGTGTCGTTCCTCCACGAAGACGGGGAGCGACATAATGGTGCCGTGACTCAGATAGGAAACCTAGGAGGGAAGAAACAGGAAGAAATGGGAAAATACCGGAGAGAGAGACTAGCAAACAGCCTAGGGAAAAGCCGGACGAAAAAGGTGCCGGAAGAAGCTATTGAAAGCCTAAGCATAGACTCGGATACGGACTGTGGGAAAGAAGTTAGGATTTAAAGTGAAAGCAAGAAGAAACTTAGACTCAGATACGGACTGCAGGTTGAAAGTGAAAGTGAAACCTATAAGAAACTTAGACTTGGATACGGACTGTGGGGAGAGGCCAGGAGAAATGAGGGAGGAATATTGTTGGAAGAAAACTTAGGGAAACATACCGGGTAGAGAAAAATGTTAGGGAGGATGAAGCCGCGAGTGCAGGCCAAGGCGGAAACGGAAGCCATCTTGGAATTCTTCAAGTCAGCCCGGGGAGCAAGAGGTGAAGATCTGGAACCAGAGGCAGAGACGTGGGCCGCCAGGTTGGAATTTGCCAGGTTAGTCCGGGCAACTTGGACTGAATGCCGGTGGTGGCGGAAACATTCGCGGAAGCCGCCGCGTGCAGAGAGAGCACGGGGCGTGAATAGATAGGGAACGCGGGGCTGGCGCGAGGCCGTGGTGCGGGCGCGAAGTGCGTGGAGACCGCGGAGTGTGCGCGCAGAGCCGGGAACCCGCCGGCGGGGCGAGGCGCCGGGAAGCCGCGCAGAACCGTGAAGCTGCCGCGGGGCGAGGTGCCAAGAAGCAACCTTGGGGCGGGCGCCGCCGGGAAGCCGCAGGGATAAGAGAAACAGAAGTTTAGAAGTAAAATGAGAGAAATAGGAATGCTGGAAGATAGAAGTAAAATGGGAGAAATAGGAATGCCTGGAGATAGAGAAATAGAGAAAAATAAGGCCTCCCCACAACACGGCAATGAGAGAGCTTGGATTCGGTCTGCCTGATTAGTGAGGCGATGAGCACCTGCGGGCGGCTAGCAGCTTATGCGCCGCAGGTCACCGAAGACAGGCACGTTATCAACACCAATAAGTCTCCCCACAATACGGCAATGAGAAGGCTTGGATTCGGTTTGCCTGATTGGTAGGGCTTGTAAGCACCTGCAGGCAGAGCAGAGCATGCGCTGCAGGGCACCGAACACAGGCACGCATCAGCGCCTAAAAACCTCCTCACAACATGGCGAAGAGAGGACCCGGATTCGGTTTGCCTGATTGATAGGACTTGTAAGAACCTGTGGGCAACTCTAGCAAGCAGAGCAGAGTGTGTGCCGCGGGGCACCGAAGACAGGCGCGTATCAACGCCAAAAATAAAAAGAAAGGGGGATCTGTGGGGAACAACTGGGAGCAACTCGGACTAGACTAAGTTACTGGAATTAAGACTTATTCTATGCATCTGCTCTCCCACAATATGGCGCTGAGAAGGGAAACAGCTTCTACACAGCTGCCTCCAGTTCAACCAATAAATTGTGGGACCTGCTCCTGATTGGAGGAGAGCAGCGTACTCGGCGTGTGGGTAGCAGAGTTGGGATTGGTGGAAGAGGACTATAAAGGAGGAGAGAGACAACATGCACCAGGAACATCTAAGGGGAACATCTATCTGAAGGAACACCTGTGCAGCCCCCGAGAGAGCCAGCCGGCAGTGTGACGCTCCCCCGCGGAAGTGGGGAATGTGGCAGGGGGAACCGCCCTTCCACGGAGGTGGAAGTGTCGGTAGCCAACCCGGGAAGAACCAGCAGCAAACCCGGGGAGGGCCGAGCAGACGAAAGAACAGCGCAGGGTCCTGTGTCGTTCCTCCATGAAGACGGGGAGCGACAGGCCATGACTTTTGGATGTGCTCTTGGATTCTGCTTGCTGATGATTTCTTGAGAGTTTTTGCATCGATGTTCATCAAGGTAGCATTCTCTTGTTTTCTTTCTTACTTCTGTTATGTTGAAGGAGAGCAATGGAAATCCTTCTAGACATCAATGTAGGCTAAATTTTTTTGATAATACCTTGAAACAGTTGAAACTGGGCAACAAAAACAAAACTAGAAGCTTTTGGACAGCAAATGAAATTATCATCAAAATGAAGAGACAACTGACAGAATGGAAGAGAATAGTTACGAACTGTTCATTTGACAAAACATTAATATTCAGAATATAAAATAAATTCAGGCCGGCGCCTCCTCCACCTGCAGCGCTGGCATCCCATATGGACACTGGATTCTGTCCCGGTTGCTCCTCTTCCAGTCCAGCTCTCTGCTGTGGCCCGGGAAGGCAGTGGAGGATGGCCCAAGTCCTTGGGCCCCTGCACCTGCATGGGAGACCAAGAGTAAGCACCTGGCTCCTGGCTTCGGATCGGCGCAGCACTGGTTGTAGCAGCCATTTGGGGGGTGAACCAACAGAACGATGACGTTTCTCTCTGTCTGTCTTTCGCACTAACTCTACCTTTCAAATAAAAAAAATATATAAAATAAATTCAAAAATCTCAACAACAAAAGACAAAGAATCTAGTGATGAAATGAGCAAAGGATCTGAATAGATGTTTCTCAAAGGAAGAAATAACCAGCAGCCCACAGATACATGGAAAATGCTCAATATCATCAGCTGTCAGGGAATTACAAGTTAAAACCAAGGTGAGATGGCAGCTCATCTAGGGTTCAATGGCTGTTATAAACATAAATGCTGGCAAGGACATGGAGGAAGTCTTACACGCTGTTTGTACAGCCACTGTAGAAATTCCTCCAGCCAGTCTGGAGATTCCTTAAAAAACAAGAAACGGAACTGCCGTATGAGCCAGAAATCTCCCTGCGGGGTACCTATTGCTGAAGAAATTAAATCAGCTTATCAAACATAAACCCTGTGTTTGTCACAGCACTGTTCACAATAGCCAAGAAAAAGATAATAGAATCGTCCAACGTGTTCATCAACAGATGAGTGGATAAAGAAAACGATGTGTGTGTATGTGTGTGTATGTATGTGTGTACATGCAATGGATTTACTCCTAAAAAATTAAATTCTTTCATTTACAGCAAAATTGATTGAACTGGAGGAGTTTATGTTAATTGTAGTAAGCCAGACAAACATTGTATATTCTATGTGGAAGCTAAAAGAAGTCAGTCTGAATATCAACTGTTTATTCCTAGAGACGGGGTTGGGTAGGAGGAGAGGTGGGAGGAAGTGCAGTGCAGTGGGGTGTGGTTAATGAGGACCTCTCATCTGTGTGTGTCAACAACGGAAGTGATGAGCCTGAAAGCACCGTAAAAGTAAGGACAGAGGTGGAAAGATTCTCTACTCTGATTATTAAGCACATTATACAGTTATTACAATATCACACCACACCCCGTGCTTTTGCCTAGCTGTTGTAACCAAGAACACATTTTAAAAACAGAAGAGTTGTAGATACTAACCAATCAGATTAGGTCTTCACATGTAAGTACATTGCTGACATCACTCTGTACTCCATAAGTAGATAATAATGATGATGATGATGGTGATGATGATGATGAAAAAACCGACAGACTCCTGCCTGCTCTCTGTGACAGTGCACACAGAAACGTAGAAAGGTTCCTCTTTTCTAAGTCTCCAGTTTGTAGCACTTTGTTTTCTGGCTTTTTGTTCTGGGTTTATGTACACAGCCGTGTTCTTGTGCAGTATAAATGCAGAGTACTTGACAGTGACAAGTGCCATGGGCCCCAGGGATGAACAAGCTGTAGCTTGTGTATGTCACAGATGAATTTAAATAAGTATTCGTGCTTCCTGTATCAGTTCTCTGAAGTTGTATCATAGCGATCTTTGTGATGTATTTCATTTGTTTTAACCAGAATATATTATCAAACTATTTATACATATAGTAAACAAGATACCCTGAAGTGTCTCCTGTTTGTTGAAGAAGATAGAAGAAGATACATGCACGTAGTCCACTAACTGCTGACTGTGTGACGTAGGTCATGGTAGTGAGTCAAAATGAAATAGTGAAATTATGGAAGGTGCATAGAAAACTTAAACTCTGTATTCTAGCAGAATTCTTGGCATTGTCTAGATTAGCGGAACTAGGGGGATGCAGCTCTTGGAAGATTCCAAGGGTAACAGGGAAATGGTTTGGGAGTGAGAGCCAGCTGCCTGATGAGAAAACTGTCCATTAACATGCAAATTTCTGGCTTCATAGCCTTAAACAGGGACACAGTGATTGCCTTCCCCACAGTTTGAAGACAAGGCAAAAAACTTCCTAGTAGTTGTAACCGGTTAGGCTTAAATGAGAAAAAGAAGAGAGAAAGAATGATGGTACTGAAACATATATTTTCATGACAGCAAATCTTTAGACCTTTACAGAAGCCCCTTTAACTAGAAAGCGATTGTTCCATTTGAGAATAGAGCTCACCGATGGTGTCGTTGTGAACTGAACGCCATGCAGCGTCAGCGCTGAGGCTTGGAGGGCTCCTCAGTAATAACAAGCTATTTCAGACTGGGGACCCTGAGGCCGAAGAGTGGAATTGTATTTTTTTCCCAACAGGTACAACTTCATTAACTTGGAATCTAAAGCTAAATATTTGGTTTCACTTTGCTTCTTCTAGCTGTGCTGTCTCCACTAACCAGGTATGCATGAGTCTTAAAATGTAAGTGAATTACAGGTAAAGCAACTGGAAAACTCAGTTCTTCCACCACACCATGCCTGTTTCTTACAGTCGGGAGCCACATGTGGGTGCTGACCCCTCTACTGGATGGTGGAGATACAGAAATTCCCACCATGATTCGACAACTTGGGGGCTCTAAGGGAATGTCTGTGTCCATGTAAATGGCCCTGAGCATGAAGCACTTGTTGAATTGGAGTCATCTCCTGGCTGTGGTTCCCAGGAGCAGCCGGCTTCAGGGGCACCTCCCCGAGGCTCTGCACCTGTGTGCACTGACCACTCGCTACCTGCAGCAGTGCATTGTGTGTTAAAATAGCGTCTTTCAGGAGCCTGGATGCCTCCACATCGCCCTTCATACTCTAGTTGGTCCTTTATCTTACCTGCCCGTCTACCGACCCCCAGTGGAAGGATACTACCAACTGGGGTGCCATTTCTGACATCTCAGGGGGAGCAGCTGTGTCTGAAACAATGACAGTGGCAGTGGAGACAGGTGCTCTGGGGAAGCGCCTCCTTTTCCTTGAGAACTCAAGCTGTGACAGTTATGTACAGTAGACAAGCCTAGGTCTGTGTGCAAATGGATGTGTGATTATCCATCCTGTGCTCTCAAAGCCTTATTTATTTTGACTACATTATACAGATGCTGCTATCCGCAGGGTGCAGAGAAGATGCTAAGTAATATGTCAGGCTCGACACCTCAATAGCTGGAGCTCATTTGCTCACCATGTTAACATATCGGGCCACATTTCCCCTGAGTGTGAATTATTCCCTTCCGGGGAATTTCCACTTGGGGAGAATTGTTAACTCTTTCAGGTGACCAGCAAACCAGTTAGCACACTGTCTCTCTAGTGAAGCAAAATCCCAAGTCCAGAAAGGATTGGGAAATACCACCCCTCCTTTTCCTACCTTTTCCCATGACTGCCTAAATAAGGAAAGCCCAAAGTGTAGATTCAAAGAGGAATTTTGGAGGTCACATACACTCTGCAACAAGGTCCGTTAACTTTTCTGGTCTTTATATTAACCATAGGTAAATAATGCCTCCCTTATGGGTTTATTATAAGGTTTGAATGATGGTGTATCTCGTTTGTATTTATATAGAACTTGAATACCAGCAGTGACTTAATATGTGTTTGGCAATTGTTATCATTTCTGTCATTATTTTTTCATTATTGTATTGGTAATCTCCAGAAAGGATTAAGCATCTTGCTTCCATGTTGTTGAGACCTGAGTGTCCCCATAACTGTCTGAAGTAGTGACCAGCCTGGGAAAGCATAATGAGTAGACTTGAATTATGGCCACTGTTCCTTTTTATCCTTAAGATGTCATAGAAGGATGGCATAGAAAATCACATGCTAGTTTTTTCTTGTGTTATTCAATTTGAGATCCTAGAAAGATATAGAGACCTGGTATCCTGAAATACCATTTGGTTAGCCAGAAAATACTGTGTGAACAGTTCCTGATTTGATTATTGACATTGGCCGTGATAGGTGCAGGTGCTGAGCCAAGATTTAGGAACGCTGTGTTCATGGCCTGTTCCATATCTTAGCAAGGTGACCTGGGACTGTTAGCGCCTCTACGTTTCCAATCCACGCCATGGGGCTTGATGGTCTCTGAGATGGTTACAAGGGCCAGCATCTGGGGATGGAGTCTATGAAGACATTCCTTTCATGTTTTCTTGAAGATTTATTTATTTATCTGAAAGGCAGAGTTAGAGGGAGAGAGAGATTTTCTGTTTGCTGGTTTACTCTCCCAAGAGTCACAGCAGCTGGGTTGGACCAGGCTGAAGGCAAGAAACAGGAACTCTGTTTAGGTATCCAACATGGGTGGCAGAGGCCCAAGTACTTGGGCTATCTTCCTTGCATTCCCAAGTGCATGAGCAGAGAGCTGGATCAGAAGAGAAGTAACTGGAACTCAAATTGGTACTCTTACGGGATGCCAGCATCACAGGTGGCAACTTAACCTGCTACAACATAACACTGGTCCCTCTTAAGTTTCAAAGATTGAGCTCTGGTGGCCAGCATGTGGTAGTTGGTCAAGCTACAGTGGCATCCCATATCGAAATGCTGATTCAAGTCACAGCTTCTTTGCTTCCCATCCAGCTTCCTGCTGGTGAACCTGGGAAAAATGCAGATGATAGCCCTAGTACTTGGCCCTCTGCCACACATGCATGTGGTAGATCAAGATTGAACAAGTAGATGGAAAATCTCTTTCTCTCTCTCATTTTATGTTTCTCTGCCTTTGGAAAAAGAGAGAAAGAGAAAGGAAAGGAAAAGTTAAAGGAAAAGGAAATGAAAAAGAATGAGTTCTGTATTTGGTTACCTTGTTTAAGTAATGGCTGTGGTGTAGTAATTTGAAAATAAAATTGTCCTTGTACTTCTCATTAGAAAAGGAATCTGTTGTTCATTTTCGGGTGGGGTGTAGGTTGGCCAACACTATATTCACACGACTAGATTAGATTGCATTCTTACATGATGTCTCATAATAAGCTAATAATTAAAAATGTTATCAGAAGTGCGTTAGTTACCCAGGGAATTGGCAAATGCAGCCAGTACTGGAATAGCTTTGCTCAGCCACATTGTTTCTGATGGGATCCACTGAAGAGGTGTGTTCTTGTCCCTGCACAGGAGACCTCTTAGCTTTGAGACAGAAACATTCATTCTGAAACGGGCACTTTCTGGTTCTTGAATACACACAGCATCACCAGATCTTGTCTTCTTCCAGGAAAGGCTAAGCAGTTGTCCAGATGTTGCTCATGAGCCTCTGTTGCCAGAGTTCTTTGTTCTTTTGTGCTTGAGTCCATCAGGTGCCCAGAACTGTTGGTAGAACCTCAGACGTCACCCTCCATCCCACCGCTCATGGTCTACCACGGCCGTTGCGTGATTACAGTGTGCAGAACATGACGGCATTTTGGTCAGCTGTGATCTCAGATGGAACTGTAAAATGCCCCTTTGTAAGCTGCTGTAACACCTACACCACTGCATTATTCCCATGTTTGTGGTGTTGCTGGTGTGAATGCCTCCCCTGTGAGGTTGGTCCTCTACAGTTGGGTACAGTGCATAACCATCATAACGGACAATGTCACTGGTTTATGTGTTTATCATCCTGTATTTCCATCTGCATCTTAGAGCACACTCCTCCTTCTCAGTACCAGCTGTGTTCCTCCTGTAGCTCGTACTCCCGTTCTCTCCGTTGTATCCAAGAAGCTTCATCAAGAAACTGGCTCACACCATCTAGGACTGCGTGGGAACCCCCTGTGACACTGCACAGCAACACCTACCTCTGTGTTTCCCAAAGCCTGTAGCTCTGCTATGAAGCCACACTGGACAGTAATGAGAACTACGTCCTGTGGACACTTCTCACTCAAAGTAAACTTGTGTTTTGATGGTCCGACAATGACATCCATTACAGCGGAGCTGAGTCTGACTCGGATATTAGGATTTAAACAGCATTTAGGGTGAATACTCTGCATAGTAAAATTGCCCTTAGAAATCCATTAAGTTGGACATAAAGTGCAGCGTAAATGGACTTGAATGTACAACATCACAACAGTAAAATACATGCATGAAAAGTAGGTACCTGGAAGCTAGAATCGGGCTCTGCACACCCCACGTTCAAGAGCGATGCCCAGAGACTGACACCCATTGCCGGCCGGCAGAGCTAATTCAGGTGCTCCTGCCGGTACCTCACCTGGTCACATTCGCGTCACGAAAGAGCGGGCAGGCACTTATGTTTTTGACTTTCTCCTCCTGCTGTTGTCTCTCCAGATGTTTGCATCTAGCGTGTTAGAAGCTAAACACACAGGTGACGTGACTTGGTGGTGACTGAGGTTAGCTGTGTATTCACAAAGGATGCTTCCGGGGGAGGCTGCTGCAGGGACTGTGTTCAAACGACCGCTCTTGTCTGCCAAGGAGCCTGTGCTGAGCACCCGTGTTCCTGGCTGGAGCTGTCCTAACCCTCACCACTCATCAGATTCAAACACTGGAAACGTTCAGCTCTGCCCTAAAGATCCAGTCAGTCCTTAAAAGAAAAACATTGTGGTGCACTTAAGGCAAATGGAAACAGTGTGGTAAATACACAAATGTGGATAGTTTTTCCCTAGAACACCTTTGGTGTGTTTGGAGAATTCATGTATTCAGAAATATAAATTCACCACTGGGATTAGTTTTCTCACGTATTAACTTCGCAGCTGTGTGCAATGTTGAACGGTAACAGGGTAAGTCACCAGATATTGAGAATGTTGAGTTGTTGGAACTTTCCCCCCGGAGCCTCCTGTGAGCTCGGCAGTAGCCCTGGGGCTGAGGCCCTGACTTTGGTGTAGGTCAGAGCTGATCTGATGTAATTCCAGGATCAGGGCTGGCGGGAAGCGCTGTCCATGGAGAGGGGTAGCAAGCAGACAGGGCTCACATCTGTGAGAGATTCCTGCCTGTTTATGTTTGTATGGGTACAGTGAAAAAAGAAAAAAGCTATGCTACACACCAGAGGCATTAAGAAATGTGCTTTAACGTCCTGTTCAACACAAGCTGCTTTAAATCAGCTCAGTCAACGCACACACTGAGTTTAGACTCGGCAGCACTGAAGACCGAACGTCCATTTTCCTGAGTTTGGATGGGACTACTCAGCAGCTTGCCAGGGGTTTTTAGCTGGAGATGTGCTTAACAATTTAGTAGGTAACTAAGTTTTCATATTAATTTTCAGTGGTTATGTAGAGGTACCATTCAGAACTTAAAAAAAAAAAAAGATTTCAAATGAGAGAACCCACGATTTTGCTATTAAATATTTGTGCATTCCACAGTCTGGTTGTTGAGATTCGCACTGGGCCAGGTGCAGTTCTAAGTGGGTGTGGGGAACAAGGAGCTGGACCAGATGGAAACAGTGGCCTCACTGAAGACCTAGGTGAAGTTATAGTCTCCCTGGGGGACTCCTACCTGCTCCAAAGCTGGCCCCCAGGCCCTGGGTGAAGGGGTCTTCCTGGCTCTCGTAGGGGGATCCACTGAAGCAGATTACTCAGATTACATCAGTTATGCGTCAAGAGTTACAGAGGGAAAATGCAAACTGGGCTCTACATGTTGAGTAAATGAAAAAGTTTGCATTAAGAATTACTGGGGCGGGGGGAGTACTGGCGCTGTGGCACTGTGGCCCAGTGGGTTAACACCCCGGCCTGAACCATATGGGCACTGGTTCTAGTCCTGGCTGCTCCTCTTCCAATCCAGCTCTCTGCTGTGGCCTGGGAAAGCAGTAGAAGATGGCCCAAGTGCTTGGGCTCCTGCAACCGTGTGGGAGACCCGGAGGAGTCTCCTGGTTCCTGGCTTCCGGTTGGTGCAGCTCTGTTGTGGCCATTTGGGGAGTGAGCCATAGGATGGAAGACCTCTCTTCATTTCTCTCTCTCTCTCTCTCCTCTCTCTGTGTAACTCTGACTTTCAAATAAATAAATAAATCTTAAAAAAAAAAAAGACACAAGATTTACCGGGGTTAGGGAGGTGTGACAGCACTATAGGTAGGTAGGTAGGTAGATAGATCAATGGATCTGATAGATAGGGAGAGAAACTGCTTTTCAGCCAAACTGTTTTACTCCTTTTTGGCCAACTCTACTGAGCTGGTTCCTTGATTGATGAGTTTTCATTTTTGTTTTCCCAAGGAACAAATTGCATCTTTATTAAAAAAGGCATTACAGTGAAATGTGAACTTCCTTTTTGTTCAGACTGTGTGTCTGGGTGGTCTCCCATGTGCGGCTCCTGCCCCAGGAGCCCAAAGGACAGTGGGAGAGGCAGTGAGGCCATGAGCCCGGTGCTGGGGCAGGTGCTCTGGCCAGGCAGTAGACTCCATCATTCCGAGGTGCTTGCTTTCTCCCTGGGGTACGGCTCCTTGGTGGTGGAAGTTGTTTTTATATTGGCCTCTGCAATTGAGTGGGCGGTGACCAGAGGCAGGCAGTTCACGCAGCCGTTAAGGACCTAATGACTCATTTTGATTGCCTTGGGCATTCACTGCTTCTGTGTGCCGTAACTACCACGTGTCCCTGGCCCAGATGTTCATTCACTTAGGCCTTCATTTACGCCATCAAACTTCAAATATTTGTTAAACTCTGCATCAGCCATGTGCTAGCAATAATAAATACGGTGAATAAAACATTGTGTTAATCTTTGTTTTTTAACCGCTTTTTATTTATTTCCATCTTCTTACAAGATAGAGTGACACACACACACACAAACCCACATACACACACACACAGAGAGGGAGGGAGGGGGGGGAGGGAGGGAGGGAGGGAGAGAGAGAGAGAGAGAGAGAGAGAGAGAGAGATGTCTTCCAAACGAAGTCTAATTTCCCAAAGGCCTGCAACTGCCAGAGCTGGGCCAGGCTTAACCCAGGGGTCAGGAACTGCACCGAGATCTCCCGTGTGGATGGCAGAGGACAGAATTCTCGAGCCGCCCTGTGCTGCCTCGCGTGACGTATTAGCGGGCAGCTGAATTGAAAGTGGAGCAGCTGGGGTCATTGCAGGCACTCTGACGCAAGATGCAGGCATGGAAAATGACAGCTTAATCCACTGAGCTACACACAGTGGCCACCCAGCCTTGGTGTTAGAGGTCAGCACCAGTCACTGACTTATACTCTGTGTAAATGTTCCAGTCCAGGAGATTTTTTTTTTTTTTTGGACAGGCAGAGTTAGACAGTGAGAGAGACAGACAGAGAGAAAGGTCTTCCTTTTTCCATTGGTTCACCCCTCAAGTGGCCACTACAGCCGGCGCCAATCTGAAGCCAGGAGCCAGGTGCTTGTCCTGGTCTCCCATGGGGTGCAGGGCCCAAGCACTTGGGCCATCCTCCACTGCACTCTCGGGCCACCGCAGAGAGCTGGCCTGGAAGAGGAGCAACCAGGACAGAATCTGGTGCCCCGACCGGGACTGGAACCCGGGGTGCTGGCGCCGCAAGGCGGAGGATTAGCCTAATGAGCCGCGGTGCCGCAGGAAATATTTGAGTTGTACATCGATCAGTCACATGCTTTGATTTTGGGCAGATGTACCTGGTCTTATTCTACAGTGAGTGAGAACTTATGCTAATTGTTCTGAATCACAGGACACAGCCTGCTCAGAAAAACAGGGAAGTCAATCAAAATTCATCCACAGCCTGGTTTATCTCCTTGTTTTGACAGTGTCCAAATAATTCCAATAACGACAACATTGGGAGAACATAAAAGCACACTGAACGGGTTTAGCTGTTGTCTTGTTTGATCCCGGCACCATGCTGCTTGGACATCTAAGAAGTCTACTACTTTCCCAAGAACACCAGAAGAGTACTTGAGAGAACTTGGGCTAAGAATCTCTGTTTCTCCATAACCATGGCCTTGCCCCTGGAGAAGCCTCCAGAATTCTCAGATATCTCTATTTTGTTGTTTTGTTTTGTTTTGTTTTGTCTTTGACAGAGTTAGAGAGAGAGAGAGAGAAGGGTCTTCCTTTTTCCGTTGGTTCACACCCCAAGTGGCCTCTACGGCCGGCGCGTTGCAGCCGGCGCATCACACCGATCTGAAGCCAGGAGCCAGATGCTTCTCCTGGTCTCCCATGTGGGTGCAGGGCCCACGCACCTGGGCCATCCTCCACTGCACTCCCGGGCCACTTCAGAGAGCTGGACAGGAAGAGGAGCAACCGGGACAGAATCCGGCGCCCCAACCCGGACTAGAACCTGGGGTGCCGGCGCCGCAAGGCGGAGGATTAGCCTAGTGAGCCGCAGCACAGGCCCAGATGTCTCTTAATGCTTTTTCTCTGGTGTATGCATTATTTTAAAATAATCTGTTCCTATTTAGTATTCCTGTAACTTGCAGATGAGGACTTTCTTTGTTTCATAGTAAGATAAGCAAAACACTGGGATAATATGGGTACCAATACACAAATGTTTATATTCTCCAAATACGGTAAATTTAGGCAACTTCAAATACAGCCACCACCACCACCCCCCACACACACACACACAGCTGGAAACAAGGCTTCAATCCTTTGCATTTAGTCAAAACTGCTAAATTTTGTCAGGGCAAACACTGATTTGTGGCTTTTTAAGGATGAAAATCTGCGATATGGAGAGAAATAACTGATCATGTGTTGGATGTAAACAAAACTGGGAGGGCAAAATACTGCTCTTGTTCAACATCAGGATGGCACGGAGCATCAGAGTTGTGCCCAGGCTGTCTTGAGCCTCTCACCAGCCACGTCCTAGGCACTCTTTCCGTGCCTGTTGGTCCTTCACTGTCAGAGAGCTGCACACACGGCATTTGTTCTTATATACCCAAGGATCAGTGGGACACTTTGACTTTGTGGTCTTGAAAGAACTTTAGACTGAATTCATTGCGTCTCACCATAACCTGTTTTTTTTTTTTTTTTTTTTTTTGACAGGCAGAGTGGATAGTGAGAGAGAGAGACAGAGAGAAAGGTCTTCCTTTGCCGTTGGTTCACCCTCCAATGGCCGCCGCGGCCGGCGCACTGCGCTGATTCGATGGCAGGAGCCAGGAGCCAGGTGCTTTTCCTGGTCTCCCATGGGGTGCAGGGCCCAAGCACCTGGGCCACCCTCCACTGCGCTCCCTGGCCACAGCAGAGAGCTGGCCTGAAAGAGGGGCAACCGGGACAGAATCCGGCGCCCCGACCTGGACTAGAACTCGGTGTGCCGGCGCCGCTAGGCGGAGGATTAGCCTAGTGAGCCGTGGCGCCGGCCCCATAATCTGGTTTTAATCCAGCATTCATTCTCCTCAGAAGGAAACACAGTTCCAAGAATTCCCACCAAGTCGGTGCCTTCAACTGTCACGAGCTATGTCGGATATTACAGATTAGGTGACGTCACTTTGAACGAATAATTTAGCCAGTTTTCAAGCCACGCCTCACTGCCATTCTGGACTTTGCCTTTTTTTTCTCTTGGAATCCATCCAAATCCCCCCAGATCTGCACCTGCCCCAAATCATCCTGTGGCTTTGATATTTCCCCCTGGATCTCTGAACGGTGCTTGTGTCTTCAGTCACTCTGTGCCCTGGTTTGAACACAGTTTGGCTGAGACCCGCATTGCAATGAGGTCCCAGCGTGTCAGGGTGGAGATGCCTTGTGCTCTTTCTGGGGGGATGAG